AGGAGTTAAAGAAGAAACATTCATCCAGACTCCAGACCAGTAGAAGGGGTGGAGTTGGGCAGCCAGACAGAGAGGACTCATGGCAAGGCAGCAGCTGAAGGAACAGGGTGGAAAAGGCTAGAGCTGGAGGACAAGGTGGTGGCTAGCAGACCCAGTGAGGCAGCAGATTGCAGACCAGATGGTCCCACATTTGAGTGCAGATAAACCAGGAGGAACAACTGGGGAATGAGACAGACTGTGCAACCCAGAGTTTCAGTGCAGGGAAATAAACCCTCAAAACCTCTGAATGAAAAAACCTCTGGGGCTTGAGGCAGCAGTGGGATAAACTCCTAACCTCACATGAGAGTTCACCTGAGAGACCCACAGGGTCCTAGAATGTGCGCTAGTTCATCCACCCAGGAATCAGTACCAGAAGGGCCCAATTTGCTTGCAGGTAGTGGGGGAAGTGACTGAAAACCAGCAAAGAGTGGAGCAAGCAGTATTGTTCCCTCTCAACCCCCTCCCCCCACATACAGTGTCACAACAAAGTCACGTGGGCTGCCCTGCCTGGATGAACACCTAAGCCTCTACCCCTTACTACTACGTAACAGGCATGCTTAGACAAAAACAAACAAATAAGCAAACAAAAAGGCCCAAATGAAAGAATAGATCAAAACTTCAGAAAAAATACAGCTAAGCAATGAAGAGATAGCCAACCTAGCAGACACACAGTTCAAAACACTGGTAATCAGGATGCTCACAGAACTGGTTGAGTATGGTCACAAATTAGATGAAAAAATGAAGGCTATGCTAAATGAAATAAAAGAAAATGTACAGGGAACCAACAGTGACAGGAAGGAAACTGGGTCTCAAATCAACAGTGTAGACCAGAAGGAAGAAAGAAACATTTGACCAGAACAGGATGAAGAAACAAGAATTCAAAAATATGAGCAGAGGCTTAGGAATGTCCAGGACATCTTTAAACATTCCAACACCCGAATCATAGGGGTACCAGAAGGAGAAGAGGAAGAGCAAGAAATTGAAAACTTATTTAAAAACATAATGAAGAAGAACTTTCCCAGTCTGGCAAAGGAAATAGACTTTCAAGAAGTCCAGGAAGCTTTGAGAACCCCAAAGAAGTTGGACCCAAAGAGGAACACACCAAGGAATATAATTACATTAGCCAAGATTAAAGATAAGGATATAAAGATTAAAGAATCTTGAAAGCAAGAAGAGAAAAGGAGATAGTTATCAACAAAGGAGTGCCCATAAGACTGTTAGCTGATGTCTCAAAAGAGACCTTGCAGGCAAGAAGGTGCTAGAAAGTATTCCAAGTCATGAAAGGCAAGCACCTACATCCAAGATTACTCTATTCAGCAAAACTTTCATTTAGAATGGAAGGGCAGTTAAAGTGCTTCTCAGATAAGGTCAAGTTAAAGGAGTTCATCATCATCAGTCCCTTATATGAAATGTTCAAGAGACTTACCTAAGAAAAGATAAAAAATATGAACAGTAAAATGACAACAAACTCAAAGCTATTAACAAGCACACCAAAAATAAAAACAAAAAGAGAAACAAGCTAAGCAAACAACTAGAATAGGAACAGAATCACAGAAATAGAGATCATATGAAGGGTTATCAGCAGGGGAGTGGGAGGGGCAGAGAGGGAGGGGGAAAAGGCACAGAGAATAAGTAGCATGAATGGTAGGTAGAAAATAGATGTAGGTTAAGAATAGTGTAGGAAATGTAGGATCCAAAGAACTTATATGTATGACCCATGGACATGAACTGAAGGAGGGGAATGTGGGTGGGAGGGGTTGTGCAAGGCAGAGGGGAATAAAGGGGGGGATGGGACAACTGTAATAGCACAATCAATAAAATATATTTTAAAAAAAAAAAAGTAATTGGATGTTATGTGAATAAAGAAGCCAGAGCTCCATAAGTAAGCTTCTAGATTGCTAATTGAACAAACTTAGCAAAGTATCTTTCATCTGGTCCTTTCATATATTTTAATATGCTAATGAACATTGTGAAATTTATTGTGAAATTCATTTGAACACAACAACTGTTTTTGTATGGAAGGTATTGTGGATTTTTTAAAATACTCTTTCAACTCAAGTAACTAAACTGCTTGAAACCCTAGCAAAATTTAAACCCTAATGAATAGTAAAGCATAGCAAAATTTGGTAGTGCTTTATTAATTGGAGGTTTTGTTAGCACTTAGAAAAGTAAACTGTGATCACCAAAGCTCAATATGAATTCACTAAGAATAAGTTATGTCAAGTTATCCCCATCTGTGCTGTTCATAGGGTTATCAGTATGACATTTTATGGGAAGGATGTGACAACGATATTCCTTCACAACAGCAAGACTTTGGGCTGGCTTTATCATGATTTCTCTTTTCTGAGAAGCTGAGTGGATTGTCAGGATTGTCGGGATCTTGTGATCAGTCTGTCACTTGAGATCTATGCCTTAGGGGGAACTCACCTATACAGTACACTGTTTCCTGTTATCAGTGTCACAGTGAACCACAGTGGTTTCACATGGTTACCAGTGATCAAAAGTGGCATTTCCAGGACTATTTCTATAGGTAACAGGGCCTATAGAAATAACTCTGAACACAAAAACTAGGAGAGCAAGGGTAAGTAAATGAAAGCAGGGGTGGACCTGCTTTCAGGTCGAAGGGAAACCAGGAGGTTTCCCTAATATAAGCTCACAGCCAGCTGTATGTTATTAGTGAGCAACAACAGACATACCCCTCAGGACAAGGCATGGAATGTGGTCAGGGGTAGGAAGCCAGGGAAGCATGCAGCAATAGCTTTCCAATAATGCAAGAAGCCAAGCAAAGCAGTGAGTAACCTTGGCACCCATATTAGCACATTTGACAAGAGAGGGGGTCAGGAACCAGTGATTCTCAAAGTATGGTGGTGGACCAGCAATATTGGCAACCCTTAGGAGCTGGTTAGAAATGAAAATTGGGGGGCATTGTGGTCTTTGTTTTATCAAGCCCCAGGTACATGTTCAAGTTTGAGAACCACTCATCAAAGCAACAGAAATAAGCTGGAGCAACGGAGAAACTTTAACCATTCCCCAGAGAAGGAGTGTCTTAAATATCTTTCCTGCTGGTATGGGAACCATTCCCAGAATGTGATACTACTGCAGCTACATGTTGAGTACTGACTACATACTAAGCAGCATAGTAAGTACATGCTTAGCAGATTAGATCCTCTTAACAACTCTGTGAGACAGAAATTGTTATCATCCTCATCCTGGATGGGGATACTAAGACATAGGTCTTACGGCAAGGCCATACAGCTAGTAAGTGGTAGGTCCAGGATTTGCATTAGGCAGTTTGACTACAGAACCCTGGTCAGGAATACCTGATAATTAGAAAGGACAAGGAGATGACAAATGGAAGGAAGGGAGGAAGGGAGGAAGGAAGGAAAGAAAGGTGAGAGTGAGGGAGAAAGGAAGAATAGAGAAAAGGAGGAAAGGGTAGCAGCACTTTGGGGAAGCAAAGATTGAGAGAAGGCTCCTTCTAAGGATGGGCTGTTTCCTTGAACTGTGACATTTCTTTTTTCTGGTCTTGCTTTTAAGTCAGCCAGCCCATGGACTTAAAGAAATTTCATCCTGGGCCTGTCTTGCACTGCTTTCTCCTGGGAAATTGGTTCCATGGGAAGTTTGTGATGTACTTTTTCCTGTCTGCTTTTTCTCCCTATCTCCTTGGGCACATACAGTCTTTGTGTATACATTCATCCCAGTTGCTGAGGAAACTGTGACTGGCTCTGTCCTTGGAGAATATCTCGGCAAAAACAGGCCACTCTTTCGGGACTCTGTGCTGAAGGGCTGATGGGGAGCTTCTCTCTGCTTTGTTCACCTTGGACCGCCTTCTTCCCTCCCTTGGCTTTAATAGGGTATCATTTCTCCTCCTTGTGTAGCAAAGCCACAGGGTCCTTTAATCTCGCCTTCTCTGGAGGCCCTTTGGAGGCTCTGTCCTGATCGCAGTAATCAAGGAGGGTGAGCGCGATCAGAGATGATGTTTGATTCTTTGCCTCTCCACACTTAGGCTTTTCATTTTTCACATTCCTCCCCATGGTTTCTAATAAACACATGAACATAGCTCAAGGGCAGGAACAAAGTTTAACTTCAGCTGAGGCACAATAGAGGCTATTTGGAAAGTAAAACTTTAAAATGGCACTTTAGCCTTGAAGAATATATTGAGTTACATATGCTGTGTGCCTTGTGTCCCAATCTCTGTATAACAGCATTGCTATGTATATTACCTGGGTACTTTTGTAGACTAAAGAAATGGGCTGCTTAAAATATTAACATCACAGAAGCAGTGTATGTGCTGATGAAGCAGGTGGGGGCAAACACCAGACCCCCTGGCTTTCTGTGCTGACTCTACCACTGCCTTCAAGGCCTGGACCCCTGAGTAGACTTCCTCATCAGTAGCATGGAGGTCATGGTAGAGCTGCCTCACAGGTTTGTTCAGGGCATTAAATGTGGCAAATGCCAAGCACAGAGCTTTCTTATCATAATAATTAAAAGTTTAATAAATGAGAATTATATATGATTATTATTTGAAGCCTGGGTTCTGTAATTTGGCCCAGGATCCATCGTACTCTCTTAACTTACGCAGTTCTCTGTTTTAGCCAATTCTTACTTCTTGTCAGTTTCAAAGGCACTGTCGTCACCTTTTAAGACATGCTGTCATTTCAAAGCATTGGTTAAATACAACCAAGACTGACAGCTATGAATAATTTCACAGGGCCCCTAAAACACTCTGGCATTTCACTCACACTTTCAAATATGCCACCAAGTTGTTCTCTCTTGCTCTGTGCCTCTGTTCTCTGCAGACTTCAGATCAAGTTACTGAAGGTGCACGTCATCTTCCTATGAAAAATAATCCAGCAGGAAACAATGTGGAGTAATTGGGCTTCATGAGAGCATCACTGTCAAGTGTGAGAATATAGGGGGAGATAATGACATTTTACTTTTTCTTTTTTGTATATTTTCAGCATGTTCACATCCACGTTCTTCCCAGGAAGGCTGGAGACTTTCACAGGAATGACAGCATCTATGATGAGGTGGGTCTGCTTTCTCTGATCTTATTGTGTAATCACAGGAGCTGTCCATGTGATGAAAGCAGCTTAAGTATGTATTACCATGTATATTGTTCTTGATGGGATTCCACCAATATGACTTGGGAAGCAGTAGTAGAGGTGAAGTAGCCCAGAATGACCATTATGGGAACTGAAGACAAATGAATTTAGAGTGACTTTCTTTTGCAAATGAAACCGGGCAAAATCTAAATGCCCTTGTGATTTCTGCCTGTCATTTATCAGAACACCAAATGTTTGCATGGAACCATGACCCAGTGTCTCCATAGGACAAAATCTACACAACCAGTGGAAATTAAGCAGATGGATATGTGGTTATTTTAGTAAAATGTTACATTTAATTTTTAAAATACTTTGGAACTCAGCTTGTCTTGCTAAATAGCATTTATTCAAATTCAAACTTTGAATTATCATTAGCAAAGACTAGGTTTGTTTGAATGATTTAACTATTTACTGTGGCCATTGAAGGGTAAACATATTCCACACACATAAGAGCAGATCAGATGGTAGTGGTGCCCTGGAGTGCTCAGGTGAAAAGGCTTTGAGGCTATTTCTCGATGCAACAAGGAAATGTGCTATGATTGATTATCAATTTCTGCTGTGGTGTCAAACAGGAGAGAGGTACCATTTTAGCCATTTGACACTCCTGTTCTAACCCTTTGAGAGTGATTTTTTTTCTTGTTTTTAATTAATTTATTAACTTTTATAGAGAGGGGAAGGGAGGGAGAAAGAGAAGGAGAGAAACATCAACTCGTAGTTGCCTCTCATGCGCCCCCAACCGGAGACCTGGCTGGTGACTCAGGCATGTGCCCTAGACTGAAAATCAAACCAGTGGCCCTTTTGTTTGCAGGCAGGCACTCAATCCACTGAGCCACACCAGCCAGGGCTGAGAGGGATTTTTACTTTAGTTGTTTAGCAAGTGGCTCTACCAGCTAACCCCCTATGACTATCTCTATCCTATTTTTATGTGTTACATAAAAGCTGTGCATTTTTTAAAGGTTTCTTTGCAATAATTGGGCATTAAATGGCTATTAGACCTTGAAAATAGAGAACCAGAGGCCAAGAGTTAGTATTGAGACTTATTTTTCCTGGGATTCACTGGATCCTTTGAGGCAATTGGTTTTATACTTTGGGAATATCACTCACTATGTGTGCTTTCTGTTTTCCAAAGGCTGAAATAGACCTGTAAAGGGTGAAAATGCTCTAGTCATTGGTCCCCAAGTGCTGGTCAGTAGGGTAATTGCTGCAAATCTCCTTTCCCAAGAGGTCCCAACTCTGGTCCAGTAGATTACTGAGGCACTGGGGAATTAGTAATTTTGTGGGTCTAAGAAATTTCCTAGGAGATCCTGATACATGGCTAGGTATGGGGATCATGTCTCTCCAAATTTAGACTTTCCTGAAGTCATATCTTATTATAATCCAAACTCATTTTCTTTGGATGTGGAATATGATTTGAGGTTGATAAGAGCTTAAATCGAATTGGGAGAAAATCAAAATTATGGAGTAATTATAAAGAGATGTGTTTTTTAAAAAATATAATTACTGATCATATTAGCATAAACTAAGGTTAATAAAATGTTGCCAAGTACAAACTATTTTAATGAATAAATTAGCACATGATTTATATACAAGTGACTACTGCTAAAAAGGTATTAAAAGTGCTTGAAAACACTGTGGGGTTTTTTATTGGTTGAACTGTCACCTTGAAATTTTGTTTATATTCCAAATGTGCTTGTGATAGGAGCTGCAGGGCTGCATTTCAGCCCAGTTAGAAACACAGCGCCCGGCAGTGAGGTGGTGCATGACCTTTCTCCCCAACCTTACCCTTTTGTCCTTGTGTACGTGACTGCATAGGGCCTCCGACCCCACAGGTGAGGCTACACAAGTCCCTACCTCCTACCTTTTTGGAGAAGCATTTCAGGAGAAGTAATTACTGCAAGAGTTTTTTTTTAATCAACTGGTAACATGTAGTATAGGTAGCAACCACTGAAGGAGGTTGAGGGAGATTGTTACATGAGACTATGACAAGATTGAGCTTTTTGAAAACAAGCAGAATTAGCTTCAAATCCCAGTGCCACCCACTGATCATGAAACATTGGGCAAATCCCCTTAATCTCTGTGTTCTAATTCCCTCCTCTCTGAAATGAAGATAAATATATTTCAGAGATTGTTATGTATAATATATAGCATACTGTACATTAAAAGTTTATTACAGGACTTAGTACATACTACACCTCTATTGATAAGTAGCTGATTTCTGTTCTTATTAATTTTGTTTTTAAAACCTAGCAATGATGGGTAAATGGGGAACATATATTCAAAGCCAGATTATTGGATGCTCCCTCTGCCTTTAACCCACTAATTCTCAGATCTTCTTCCTCTATGTATAAAGTTTGAGTACATAATAAATAGTATATAGAAACTGGCACGAGAAAGACAAAACATTGCATTGTTGGTACAGGATGTGATGTACATTAGACTGATTTTAATCAGAAATGATAAAGTGATGAGGGACAGCCTTTTTTATACTGAAAGGAGCACTGACTTGAAATTATGCACGTGTCCATGAAATAAAACAGACAGACTGGCTTGGAAGATGGGAAAGGGAGAACTTGGACAGCAGGAGGCAGAGCTTAGTAAAATGCAATTCTATTCCTACTGCTGCAGAAATAGAAAACAATGCATAAAGAAACCCTATGCTAAAAATTAGCTGGGAATGCTGTGTTCTTTCTGGGCACTGTTATACAAGGGCAAACTAGAGACAGTTTACAGTTTACAGTGACAAACTAGAGAAAGTTCACAGGAAGGTGACTAGGATGGTAGAGTCTGGGAATAGTGATCTGGGGAGTAGTTAATGGTAGAAATGTTTTATTTAGAGAAGGGATCACTTGTGGAGGGAAGAGTGACAGGGTCACTGCTTCTAACTATCTAAAGCACTGTCAGGTGGCTCCAGGGGGAAGATCTGGGACTTTTAGGTGACAAGGAAGCAGATACTAGCTCCACGTAACAACAGGTCGAATTGCTAGAATGTGCCTTGTGGGGAGGCATGGGGAACTTCCCATCCCTGGGTCCGTGCAAGCACAGAGTGGATGACCATGATTCACCTTTGTATGGACCTCATGGTTCCATAATTTTACAAATCTGGCCCATTTGATTATTACCTCTGTTTTTAAGTTATGTAAGTTCTATCACAAATACTGTGGGGTTTTGTTGTTGTTATTAGTATTACGGCATTCGGTTACTGCCTAATAAAACATTCTTTGTTGTTTAGTTCATGGAAATATAAAGTGTAACTCTTCTTTGACTTATATTAGACCATGCTCTACTGGTTTTTTCTCATTCCCAGCCTACTTCCCAGGTTTTCTCCAGCTCATTGTTGCATATTGATGATCCAGGGGATTTGCTAGCTTCCTCATTTTTTTATTTTGCTTGAAATGTATTTGTTAATGATGTGCTTTATTTTGCCTGCAAAGTATCCTGAATGAGTCTGAATGCTATTAGGTATGCCATTCATTCTCTAGGTCACTGCAGTTCCCACCACTCAGTCTCTTATGAAGCCTTGCATCACAGTTGTGAGTTTGAGATCCCTGCCTATTTCATGGGGTACTTTTCTTCTCTCTACCACTCAAAATGACTACCCCCAGGATCCTCTGTCTAGTCCTTTGTGCATGCCACTTATCCGTAACATTAATTATACTATCTCACTTACTTATTTACAATTTTCTGGCCCTGGGTGAGTTCCTTAACTTCATTAGGACATCCTGCCTACTTCCCTTGCTCCTGTTACTCTCATTCTCTCTTACTAATTACTTTTGTCAAATGTATTATTCTTGTTCCTACCTCAGGGCCTTTTTGTGGCTTCTTTCATCTCCTTCCTGTCTTGTGGCTTCACATCTCTATCCAAATCTCAGCTCAAGTGTCACCCTTCAAAGAATTCTTTTCATTGATCACCTCAATCTGTCTAAGGTAGTTAATCCCTTATATCCTTTTGGGTAACTCTATCGTGTTACATGTTTATGATCCTATTATTTATGTCACTTGAAATAATTTATTAGTTTACTATTCAATGTCTGTATTCCTCACTGCATTGTAAAGCCTTGAGAACAGGGACCTAATCTGGCATAGAATGGGTCTTCAGTAAACATTTGTTAAATGAGTGATTACATGAAAAAATAAAGTGTTGAACTAGAAGAACTTGAAGTTCCCTACTAGCCCTGACATAATTTAAATGGAGAGAACATCTTGCTTTTCAGAAGGGCAATTTATTAACTTATAGCTACTTTGGGTGAAACTCTGACATAGTGATATCAGCCCTCTGAGGTTAATTTAATGAAGCATTGGTAGAACAAAATCAGTTTGTCAGAAATCAGTGTGCAGACAGCTGCAAATTGTGGCTCATCAGAAAGGCTTGGTGAAGTAATTATAAACCTTGTCTGATTGCTAAGCAAGTCTGGTAGGCACTTGTCAAAGTTGATAAGTAACTTGCCTCCCTTAAACCTACACTTGTGTGTGTCTAACAAGTACAGATGTGGTATCTGCTGAAAGCGGTCTCAGGAGCTTTCTTCCTTTTATTACAACCTTGGTTATTATCCCTGAGTTTATCTTCATCTGCTCTTCTTCCAGCTCTCTGTCTTGGATTTGTCTTTACACATTTTGCTTACTAATTTATCGTCCCCATTTCAGAGGATGAGTCTTTTTTCTTTCCCTCAAAACTGAGCTCAAGTTGTACCCTCTCCAAGGCAGGATCTCTTAGAAAGCCCATTCATTCTTTATGATTCTCTATGCAGATTTTATTTATTAGTTGCTCCCAAACTCTTTCTACATTTATGCCCTTTGAATTTATCTGAGCTATGTGAGGCCTTCTCTGAATTCAGTGGACCCTCCATTATCTTGACAAGTTGATGAGGATTATGATAGTGACATAAATAGTTCCTTAGATAAAAGAGCGTGTACAACTAATAGTGGGG